TGATATCCCATGCTTAGCCTCATTTGTATATTACTCGTGCAAGAAGCCGCGAGTGTAGACAAAGCCTTAATGTCAGTACTGGGCAAATTAGGCTGTGGGGCGGGGAGCAGGCGGGGGACCAGCAGGGGGCGCTGTGCTGCAGGGAGCAAGCGCGGGACCAGGAGTGGTCCCACAATGTGGCACTATCTCTTCATGGTCTGTGCTGATCCCAATATCCCTCTGTCCCTGTCCCCCACCTTCCATCCCCTTCTGTCCTGTCTCCTTTTCCAGGTGACCCGGGCTCCCCTTCTTTCCCGCTTCGCCCCCGTATAGTGGTGTTTGGTACGTACGAGCTTCCCCGCCGACGCACGACCATGGGACTACTCCCAGGCTGCCGACACTGGGGTCTTTGGGGTTGCTAAAGCTTAGGGTTGCCAGATGGTTTCACCAAAACTACTGGACACACCTGACATTCCATCACAATCGACGTTTCATCTGAGTTAGAAAATACCCGACATTTCTATGTTCTCAATGTGTTTCCGGAACAGAAAGCTCAAATACTGGGCTGTCTGGTTCAAAACCGGACACCTGGCAACCCTACTAAAGGTTGAATCTGTCCTTGGGCGGGGAGTGGGTCAGAGGGAGTGGAGATGTGGGGGCGGGTGGCTGGAAGTCAGGACTCTGGGTTCTCTCCCAGCTGTGGGGGGAGGTGAGGTCTAGTGGTTGGAGCAGGGTTTGGCTGGGAGTCAGGACTCCTGGGCTCTAGCCTGGCTCTAGTAGGGCCTAGTGGGTTACAGTGGGGGATAGAAGATCAGGACTCGGGGGGGGAGGGGCTTTCCCCCAGCTCTGGAAAGCCACAGATCTTGCTACAAATTCCATAGGTCCAGAGTTGGGCACCTTTTCCCCTGTTCTTGTCCCTTGTCTCTGCTTCCCACAGCCCCTGCTTCCTCTGTGCGGCCCCTCCCTCCCAGAAACCCCCTCCTTCCCATCCATCCTAGCCTCTCCCCGACCCCCCCGCCTCTCTCTCTGCTCCTAACAGATGCCCTGCTGGCCGATCTGGAGACCACAACCTCCCACATTTCCAAGCGCCCAGTACTGCTCACAGACTCCGGGGCCACCCATGCCAACGGGACGGGGCAGGATGGGACGCCTGAGGCCAGGCCCCTCCCACCACCCTACAACCCTCAGCAGCAGGTAACTCTAGGGGGTACCGCAGGGAGCGGGGTGGAGATTCAGTGGGGAGCACTGTCCTCTGGCAGTCAATGCTGGCCTGGCCCGAGCACCCCAGCGTAGTGTGAGGAGATGCTGCAAGCAGGGTAGATGATCAGTCCCAATGCAGTTGTTCATCTGCCTCTGTGCTCCACCCCAGAGGTGGCTGCATCTCCCCGGCTTGTCTGAGACCCAGCAATCTCGTGTCACTGCTGAGTTTGTTGATTGACTCCCCGCACCCTCATCTCTGTTTTTTTGCAGGTCATGTCCATGAACCCCCCACCTGTCTCCGCCCCGCCCAGCGGGGGCGATAAAGAGCATCTCTACAGGTGCGGCCCTGGCATTTTCCGCTTCGGTCTCTAGGAGTGGTAATGGCTGTGGGGAAGGACCTGGGTGTGGGGCAAGTGGGGAAAGGGAGAGAGAGACTGGCAGGGGTGGGTGTGGAGCAGGGGAGGAGAAATGTGAAAGATGGGGAGTGTGAGGTAGAGAAGGAGAAGCAGGTGGGGGTGGGGAGTGTGGAGCGGAGAAGCGGGTGGGGATGAGGAGTGTGGGGTGGGGAAGGAGAAGCGGGTGGGGGGTGTGGGGCGGGGTGGGGAATGTGGGGCGGGGAGGAGAAGCGGGTGAGGGTTGGGAGTGTGTAGCGGAGAAGCGGGTGGGGATGAGGAGTGTGGGGTGGGGAAGGAGAAGCGGGTGGGGGGTGTGGGGCGGGGTGGGGAATGTGGGGCGGGGAGGAGAAGCGGGTGAGGGTTGGGAGTGTGTAGCGGAGAAGCGGGTGGGGATGAGGAGTGTGGGGTGGGGAAGGAGAAGCGGGTGGGGGGTGTGGGGCGGGGTGGGGAATGTGGGGCGGGGAGGAGAAGCGGGTGAGGGTTGGGAGTGTGTAGCGGAGAAGCGGGTGGGGATGAGGAGTGTGGGGTGGGGAAGGAGAAGCGGGTGGGGGGTGTGGGGCGGGGTGGGGAATGTGGGGCGGGGAGGAGAAGCGGGTGAGGGTTGGGAGTGTGTAGCGGAGAAGCGGGTGGGGATGAGGAGTGTGGGGTGGGGAAGGAGAAGCGGGTGGGGGGTGTGGGGCGGGGTGGGGAATGTGGGGCGGGGAGGAGAAGCGGGTGAGGGTTGGGAGTGTGTAGCGGAGAAGCGGGTGGGGATGAGGAGTGTGGGGTGGGGAAGGAGAAGCGGGTGGGGGGTGTGGGGCGGGGTGGGGAATGTGGGGCGGGGAGGAGAAGCGGGTGAGGGTTGGGAGTGTGTAGCGGAGAAGCGGGTGGGGATGAGGAGTGTGGGGTGGGGAAGGAGAAGCAAGCAGGGGTGGAGTAGGTTAAAGCGGGTATGGGTGAGGAGGAGGCACAGACGGGTAGGGATGGAAGCCGGACAGGCCTCCCCTTGGCTCTGGCCCACTCCCAACTGGCCCTGGTCCAGCATCTCCATTAGGAGGTTCCCTATAAATAGCTTCCCCAGCCTGCCCTGCCTCCCCCAGCTCCCCGAGCCGGGGGGGAGCTGGCTCCTTCCTGTGGGTGCCTGGAGGCTGCTCACCCTCTGCCTTCCCCAGCACTGTGTGCAAGCCCCGCTCGCCCCGGCCGGGGGCCCCCGCTGCGCCTCCCTTCTCCTCCTCCAGCGGGGTGCTGGGCGCTGGCCTCTGCGAGCCTGGGGCACCGCCCCCTGCTGGGCTGGGATCTAGGGACCCCTCTGGGGCACCGCCCCCTGCTGGGCTGGGATCTAGGGACCCCTCTGGGGCACCGCCCCCTGCTGGGCTGGGATCTAGGGACCCCTCTGGGGCACCGCCCCCTGCTGGGCTGGGATCTAGGGACCCCTCTGGGGCACCGCCCCCTGCTGGGTCTGGGATCTAGGGACCCCCTGGGGCACCGCCCCCTGCTGGGCTGGGATCTAGGGACCCCTCTGGGGCACTGCCCCCTGCTGGGCTGGGATCATTCTAGGGTCTCCTCTGGGGCCCCACTGCCCCCTGCTGGGCTGGGATTTAAGGACACCCCCCCCAGGGGCTCCATCACCCCCTGCTGGGCTTGGGCCTAGGGTCCCCTCCGGGGCTCTGCTGGCCCCTGCTCGGCTGGGATCTTGAGTCCCTTGCTGGATTGGGATCCAGGTTCCCCTCCAGGACCCCACTGCCCCTGAATAGGCTGGAATCGGGGCCACCTGGTGCTGTAGCACAGGCTTAGTCCATTCTATTTGGTCAGGATCCAAATGGTGAGAAATACTGCCCCCTGGTGGATACGTGTGGCCACTGCAGGCAACTCATGGCAACCCTGGTGCGCGCGTCTTTGTCTTTTCCTCAGATGAAATCATGTCCCAGTTCCCATCCAACAAGGGCCCCGATGGGGAGAAGCGGAAGGAGAAGCCGGAGGATGCTGGGGAAGGAGGTTCCCCAACTCAGTAAGTGACTCTCCCATGCCTGACCATTGGTCCAAGGGGTTAAGTGTCCCACTGGTTGGGAGTCCAGGCTCAAGGCTGAATGAGAAACACCCCAGAGGTGGCTGCATCTCAGTGGCAGGCCCCTGTATAATCAGCCCCTGAGCCCCACCCCAGAGGTGGCTGCATCTCAGACTGCCTGAGGGGTTCCTGTATAAACAGCTCTGGGTGCCTTTGGGGGAAGTTGGGGGCCCAGTAACCATCCTGTCATTTCCCTCCTAGCTCCACTGGCTCCACCCCCACTCCCATGAAGCCATCAGCCACATCTGCTACCCTGGAGTTAGACAAGCTCATGGCCTCCCTGTCCGACTTCCGAGTCCAGAGCAACGTGAGTCTGGCCCTGAGACAGTCTGGGGGACGAGGCTACGTCTGGGGGAGGGCACTAATGAGATGAGGGCTCTTCCTGTCCCCAATGGGATCCCAGTAAGCGTGGGAGTGAACGGTGCATCGGGGAGACGGCGTGTGTGCTAGAGGAGGGACTTGTGTGCTCTGAGCAAAGGCTGGTGATGCAGACAAGGGAGTATGTGCATGCAAATGTGTGCAAGCAGTAGTGTGTGTGCAAATGAGTGTGTGTGCAAATGAATGTGCATAGACATAGGGGTGGGAGAACATGAGTGCGAAATTGTGTGTACAAATGAAGTTTCAGTTGTGGGCCTGAGTATGCCTCTACATGATTGTGGAAGTGGGTGTGTGCAAATGATCATGTGCACAAGATGTACTAGGTGCAGATGACTGGAGGGAAGCTTGGGTGTGCAGATAAGTGTGAAAGATCATTAGTGTATGAGTTGGGGTGCAATAGATCATGGGTCTGTGTGTGCGGCCATGCACGTGCATGAAAGTACCTGTGGCAAAAAGTTCTTGAACCTGCAGGTGTGCACCAGTATGGGTGTGCAAACGAGTGCAAAGTTGAATTTGTGTGTGCAAAGGGAGGTGCAAGAATGAGCGACACACCAGGTGGGGGAGTGTAGAGGTGTCTGTAGGGCACTAGTGTAAATATCCAGGAGTGGGTGAGAAATGACAGGTATTGGTGCCAAGCGTGGGTGGTGGGAGCTGTGATTGTGAATGTGAAAAAGAGTATGGTGGTGCACAAGTGCGTGCCCTCCTGGAGGGAGGGTGATAGGAGTGTGTCGGGGTGAGCTGGCAGGGTTCAGAAGTGACTTGGCAAGATCACAAATGGGGCAGCGGCTGATTCTTCCTATCTCCTGCCTAGAGCCGCCCTGCGGGAGCCTGGCACCAGCCTTTGGGTGGCCCTCACGCTGGTATGTGGCTCCACCTGGCCTGCAGCGGCTGTGTGCCATGTGGTACTGTCCGGCTGTGGAGGTGTGGCCCGGCCTGGCTGGGTGCATTGTGCTGCAGGGGGTGCCAGATGGGGCAGCAGACAGCTCGGCCGCTCGCGGGGCTGGCACTGCATGGCGACGGGCATTTCCTGTGTAGCGTGGCGTGGTTTGCCACAGTGTCCTGCGGCTCCTCGTGGCATGGTGCAGCCTGGGAGTGCAGCCGCTGGGCACAATGTGGTGCAGAGACGGGCAGCTGGTGCGGAAGGGCGCGCTGGCCAGATCAGATTTGCCTTGGCGTGGGTTATGAGGGTCATCCAGGGATGGGCACACTTTGGGGTCCTGTGTCATTCCTCAGGGGTAGAGGGAAACTGAGGCAGCATGGTGCCCTTTGGCGGGGGAGGGGAACCTAAGGCTCGGGGGCCGGATGCAGCTCTCAGCTTGCCTGGATCAGGCCCCTGAGGCTCAGGGCTCCCTTCCCAGCATTGGGAGCCTGCGCTGGCACTCCACCCCCCCCCCCCATATCTTCCCCGTGGGGCTGGAGCACACGAAATCTACTAGCCTGGGTCCCTGGTGGATGAGGGGAGGGTCTTTCTCCTCAGTCGAGGGCCGCGACAGTGAGAGTTCGGGGTTTGTTTGGGGTTTTTTGCTTCTCGCTTCTTTGTGGCCCCCGTCTGATTTTTCTGTGGGTCAGTGGCCCCTGACCCAGGAAAGGGCCCCCAGCCTGGGGTTATGGCTACTGCAGGGCCAGGCAACCCTGCCTGCGGCCAATGCGGGTGGCTCGGTTTGGCTCCCTGTGGCGTGTGTAGCAGGCTGGTGCTTTGGCGTACAGCACATCTCAGCACCTCCTATCACAGCTGCTTCCCTTCCAGCTCCCGGGAGCCTCTACGGCGCCCCCCCCGGCCCGCATCTCCATGGTGCAGCAGCCGGTGGTGTCGTCCGTCGGCCCCAGCCCCTCGGTGCCGCTCCCCACAGCTACGTCGGCCCCGCAGGGGGTCAACTTGGACAGCATGCTGGTGATGCTGCAGTCGGATCTGAGTCGCCAGGGCATCCCCACCGGCAGCAAGGGGCTGTGTGCCTCCTGCCAGAAACCCATCGCTGGGCAGGTCTGGACAGGCCCGGGGGGCAGGGGGCGGGGAAATCAGGGAGGTGGCAGCAGGAGCCAGGAGGGGGCACCTGGGATCC